ATCCATACACACATCAATTGTGTAAAGCGCATTTGTACATTGTTTCTCAAAACATTTTCTCTCCATTGCAATCTACTTTTCATCAACACAAGATACATGTTTTAATGGTTTCATTGCAGAATGAACGTGGAGAACTGTAATCTTCCTTTGGTGGTAGACATGTCTGGCCCAGACTTGATCATCAATGTAGGAAAAGTGACGTTGGGTGAAGAAACCCGAGAGAAGCTACAGAAACTTGAGAGAGAGGAAGAGAAGGCGAGAGTTGTACAGGCTGCGTGTGCATTACTCAACTCCGGGGGAGGAGTGATTCAGACGGAGATGACTAGCAGGGATGAGCACCCTGTGGAGATGGGACAGGATTTGGAGAAAGCTTTGAGTGCACTCATTCATCCTTCCAACTTGCAGGCCTTCTTTGAGGATAAGCAACAAGAGGGCTCTGCCTTCCTTTTTGTGAAATCCTGGAGCAGTGACCTTTGCCCTGAAGATCACACCTTCAGGCCCCGTATCTGTAGCCTGAGCTCATCACTATACTGTAGATCTGGTACCACGTTGAGCCTCATGAGTCCAAGAACAGCTTTCGATTTCCTGAAAAGCAAGAAGAGAAATGCAAACAAGAGCTCAGGGGAAGAACCTTCTAGCAAAGTCCCCAGGGTTATATGTCCAGGCCTCCAGAAGTCAGCGCCTGCTTCCTGGGTTTTCCAAAGACACACGCTGGAATATGGTGAAGCCCTGTCTTTTCCTGAGTCTGATGGGGTAGAGTTTAAGCAGTTCTCTACACGCAATATTACAAAATACATAGAGGGCACAATCCCAAAGTACATCTCTGCATTTGCAAATACCAAGGGAGGCTATCTTTTTATCGGCGTGCACGATACAACTAAACAGGTGATAGGGTGTGCCAAAGAAATCATCGAACCCGTCTCTTTGAAAACGGCGACAGAAAGAGTCATAGAAAAACTACCTCTGGCCTGCTTTTGCCCGTCCAAAGGCAAGCTAGATTGCACAGTCAAAAACTTGGATGTGTTTAAAGTGGGTGAGCTGTATGGCTATGCGTGCGCCATCCGGGTGGAACCATTCTGTTGTGCGGTGTTCTCCAGTGCTCCCGTTTCCTGGATGGTGAAGGACAAGGAGATCCGCAAGCTGAGTACCGAAGAGTGGGTTGCCAGGGTGACGGATACAGACCCAGGTAAGGGGACAAGCTCTTCCCTCCTTGTCCTTTCTCTCTCTGTGGCGTCTCCATGCTAAATAGGTCTTCCTTTGTCCATGGCTTTTAATTTCTCACTTCCACCGAACCGTGGGGTTTGAGTCTCCAGCCTGTCCTACTTCCCATGAAAGAAAAGCATTGTGCCGGGTGATTAGAAGTCCAAACCAAGGGTTTTAGAAGGGGCCGTTTTTCCAACATTATGTGGGCATGATGTCCTTACAGTGGTACATTGGACTCAGCTCGTACTTGCTCCAGAGCCAGTTTTCAGGAATCTGGTGGGCCAGTGATTAAGCACAGAAATTATTTTTATAGATAAGTTCATAGAAATTTAATATTAAATAATTATATTAACAACAAAAGGAAATAAATACAAATTCACCACTTCCTAAGGATCTACTACTGTTTACTCCTAGATGTTCCTGTGAGGGTATTTACATTATTAGATGGATGGCGAGGATACTGTTAAATGGTGTGCTGCTACACATCTTGTCCCGCCTCCACTTACTGGCATCACATTGAAAGTGTCACATTGTCTGTGGAAGGAGTCTATTTACACCACAGAAGTGGACAAATACTGCCAGTGAGCAATTTCCCCACTACTGGACCTGGCTTTGTAGCAGTTACCAGTGTATTACGGCTTCCTTAAATTGGCTCTTTGAGTCCCTTAAAGTGTTTTAGATTAAATCCTAATACCATCTCGACTTAAATTAAGCTGCCTTCTGACTCTTGATCCTTCAAGACTTTTCAGCTCAGTGAAAGGAGCTCACGGTGATGATTATCTCAGTGCAGATCACACACACACACACACACACACACACACACACACCGCCCATGCAGGACAGTAAAAAAAAAGTATTGCTAGTGGGGCCCCAGTTCGTACATGCACAGGTTTATTTCAAGCATCACATATTTAAACATGTCTTTGACATCCGCAGATAGCTGCAGACAGGTTTTCTTAGTAACACCACTGCCATCACTCAGCAATTGAACACACACAGCTCTTACGGGGTAACATAGAGCTGCTCTTTACTGGGTTTCTGAGACGGTCAACTTTACTGAAGTAGACAGCCTCACCTTTCTCTTGTGAAGTAGCTGGTGGGTTTGAACAACTGACCTTTCAGTTAGTAGCTCAACACTTAGCCAACTCTGTCACCAGGGCTCCTTTAAGGTCAAATTAAACAACGACAACAACTCACTTCTATTGAGTCGATTCCAACTTACAGTGACCTGTGCAGGATTTCTGAGGCTATAAATCTTTACAGAAAGAGAGTCTCATCTTTCTCCCTTGGAGTGGCAATAGCTTATCCAACAGCGACACCAGAGCTCCTTGAAGGTCAAGTATTCACTGCCATCGAGTCCATGCCGACTCATGGAGACCCTATAAGACAGAGTAGAACTACCCCTGCGAGTTTGTAAAACCATAACTATGTACAGGAGTGAAAAGCCCTGTCTTTCTCTCAAGGAGCAGCTGGTGGTTTTGAACTGTTGACCTTGCAGATGGCAGCCCAATGCTTAACCTCTATGCCATGAGGGCTCCTTTGTAGGTCAAATAGGGGATGAAAGAGAAGAGATATGCAAAAACGTGTGTATGTACTAGGGAAAAGGTGCTGAGCATCGCAAGCGTCTATGAAGGATGCTACTGGGTGGAGAAGCATGACCGAGAGTCCAAAGAATGGGATGCAGTCAATGTCACAGGACAATTTGTGTATGAAATATTGACTAGAAAATGAATTGCTGTGTAAGCTTTCACCTAATACACGATTAAATGACATTCTTAGAAAGAGGATCACAAAAAGTACTTAAAAATAAAGACTCCAAATATTAATCCTTAATGGTGGATTTTGGGGACCTTAAATCCCAAAGCACTGGTCTAAATGAAGGCCGAAGCGCCTCTGTGGTGCGTAGCTCATGGTTCAGTGCCCAGCTGGTAACTTAAGGGTGGACTGTTTGAACCTGCCAGTTGATTGGCAAAAGCAAGACTGGCAGTCTGTCTCCCCAGATTGTAGCCTGGGGAACTATTCTATAGGGTTGCTATGTGTTGGAATTGACTAGACAGACAGATGGACGGGCAATGGGTTGTTTTTGTCTTGCTTTGTTTTCATAAAGGTGTTAACTTAGATGGGACAAACGGGAGCATTATCTGTCCATTCCCTGTCAAGTGACCGCAGAGAAGGTCATATATTTTACCCACTGGTCAGGCCTCTTTCAATGGTGAAGGTTAACATAAGTTTTCTTTCTTTGTGAAGATCTTCAATGGTTGTGCGAAGACTTTGAACCGCAGCTGAGTCTCGCTAAGGGGACTCCGCTGAGCAGACCAGTGTACGCCAAGAAAGGCCTGGAACATAAGGAGCACCTGCAGCGACTCTTACTTGCAGGTAGGAGCGATGGCTGACTCTTACTTGCAGGTAGGAGCGATGGCTGCCGACTGGGCACAAGGCAGTTTCTACGGTAGGAGAAATGGAACTAAACTGATATGTTTATTACGTTTCCCGAAAGTCTGCTCGGCAAATTCCTTTGAATGGAATGATCATGTCGTAAGCGTACTGGTGATAAGTACTTTGGAAATGAGTGCTTATTCATCCCACTGGCTAAGGCAGTACCCCCTGTGAAACCCAAGAACATTACTGCCCCTAGAGACCATTTGTAGTTTTGAAACTACAAATGTGGTTTTCAAGATTCCTGGTGGTTTTTACAAATGCGGAGACCTGGGCTCCACCTCAGACTTGTTAAATGAGAATCTCTGGAGAAGGGACTGAGGAATGGGCATTTTTCTCGGGGTCCTCACGAGGTCCTGAAGCTCATCCTCACTGGGCACCCAGAGGTGTGCTAGAGGTGGTTATGAATATTAAGGATGAAAAATCCATCAAGATGTTAGAAAGAAGAAAAAGCAGTGTTTCAGGCTTAGAAACAATCATATAGGAACAAAAACGAGTTACCAGACACTGGCTGTTCGCTGCTCTTATTTCTTGCTCCCCGCACGCTCGGCTTTGCCTAGGAGCCCATTGGTGTCTTCTGTCTACCTTCCCAGAGGTGGAAAATCATGTGCTCAAGCCTAGGCAAGAAGTCAATGACTCAACCGGTCACTAGGTGTTGATATAAAGTAAATGTCTATAAAGGGCCAATTAATAGATAATGCTCACCCCAATTAAGATTTTTTGTTTTCCTTCCCTAATAGAAGTCCTTGCATTGACATGAATATTTAAATTAATTGTAGTTAAAAACTTCCCACAGTAAATCGTATAAGATCCAAGAATCAATATCACTCACTGCCTGGGAGTCGATGCTGGCTCAAAGTGACCCCTATAGGACAAGGGCCTAACTGCCTTGTGGGTTTCAGAGACTAACTCTTTACCGGAGTGGAAATCCCATCTTTCTCCCTCGGACTGGCTGGTGGTTTCAAACTGCTGACCCTGCAGGTAGCAGCCCAACTATGCCACCAGGGCTCCTAAGAGTAGATAGAACAAACTCCAGGTCAGACTCACTGCCACCCAGCAGATTCTGGTTCATAGTGGACGCGTCGGACAGACTCGAACAGCCCCTGTAAGTGTTTGAGGTGGTACACTTGAGGGCGCAGAAAGCCTCACCTTTCTCCTGTGGAGGGGGGCAGCTGGTGTGCCCACACCTGACCTGTCCGTCACGGTCTGATGTATAGCCCACTATGCCACCAGTCTCCTATGGAGGAAAGCTCGGTAAGCGCCATTTTAGTATAACTTATTTCCATGGAATAAAATATAATGAAACCCCAAACTGGGCTATATTCTCTTAGCATATCAATGGATT